TCTCATTATAAAATTTTAAAAAAAGCCATTATAATTCCAAAATAAATTATTTTACAACATTATTCCAACCAAACATAAAATAAATTCATTCTAAAATTATTTTCAAAATTATTATTTTTTATCTTTCGTACCAAACGAACATCATGATGTAAGGGAGAGAGGAAAGAAAAGAAACACTATAACTACACACCTCCCTACAAAAGTTCCCAAACACACAAAAACACAAATCAAACCAAAGCCATCCCTTTTACACACAAAATTGAACCATCCCACAACAAATCAAGAAACACACACAAATCAAAGTTTCCATGAATGAATGAACCCTTTCTCTCTTCCTTAATCCAAAATCCAACAACCCATTTCCACCATGTCCACACCACAATCAGAAAAACAAGCTCTTTTTATTACCTCACTCATTATTTTCTGGTATTCTTCCAACATTGGTGTCCTTCTCCTCAACAAATTATTACTTTCTAATTATGGTTTCTCTTTCCCAATCTTCCTTACTATGTGTCATATGTCTGCTTGTGCTGTTCTTAGCTATGTTTCCATTGTTTTCTTAAAGATTGTACCTTTTCAAAGGATCAAATCAAGATCTCAATTTTTGAGGATTTCTACACTTAGCCTTGTATTTTGTGGGTCTGTTGTGGGTGGTAATATTTCTTTAAGGTATTTACCTGTTTCATTCAATCAAGCTGTGGGTGCTACGACTCCGTTTTTCACTGCAGTGTTTGCTTATATGATCACCGTGAAGAGGGAAGCTTGGCTTACCTATGGTTGTCTTGTTCCTGTGGTTGCTGGTGTTGTCATTGCAAGCGGGGTATGTTTTACTAGTTTTGAATCTTTTTTTTTTCTTGATCGTTTGTGTTGAATCAATTGTTAATCTTTGTATTTGTGTTAATTTGTGATGTATTCATTACTTTTGTATTTTTTTCTCCTTTTAAATCTACTTTTATAAACGTGAGTCGGGATCTTTCGGAAACAACTTCTTTATCTCCACGAGGGGTTAGGATAAGGTGTGGTACACTCTACCCTCCTCAGACCCCACGTGTGTGATTTTATTGGGTATGCTGTTGTTGTTGTGATTTAGTTTTTGGGAGCTCTGACTAATTCGGATTTGTGTTGCATAAGGCCACTTGAGGGGTATCACTGGTGTAACATAATTTTTACCTCGTGAGACCTTTAATTAAATGTGATAGAAATTTCTAAGCTTCTACTTTAAAAAGAATTTATCTTTAGTTTTGGATCAATTGTCAATTTTTTGCTTGTTTTGTCGGGCTATGTTGCTCAGACTCTCCCAAAAATGTTGCCGTGCTTGTGTTGGATCCTCCAAAAATGCATTACTTTTGAAGGACCCGACATGCACGTTCTTTCTTTTGTTTGATCTGGTTGTGACTTGTGATTTAATTTTTCTGAAGAAAGAAATCTATATCTTAATTTTCTGTGATTTTTAGGATATTGAGAAATCTATAGTTGTTTATCATTTGGAATAATAAGAAGCTCCCTCGGGAAAGTACTACAACACACAGCTACTTGCTACCCTAATCCTCGACCTCTAGACCTTTCACCTTTCTATCTAAGTGTCATGTCCTTAGTAAGCGGTAGATGTGTCATGTATTCATTTCGCTGTAACACTGGTTGAAAAGAAAGGCTAGCTTCCTGAAGCTGCAAATATAGTTTGAACAGCTGGTGGTCCAAATATATGCCCACTAGGGGAGAAGTAAAATATCGTATCACCGTAATGGTTGCACACAAGTACTTACTCTGCTTTAGATTTTGGTCCAATTTTTTCCATTATGGCTAAGTGTTGATTTGAACTTCTAAGTATTTACCTATCATGGAAAACGAAAAAATTTCAACTGCTTTTATGAGTTAAAATCTGGAAAGTACTTAATATACCTCCTTATAAGCAACTTAAGTACATGTTCAGCTTTTACTAATGTACTGACAAGTATGTCGATTGATGGCAGGGGGAGCCTAATTTCCACCTTTATGGATTCATTATGTGTATAGGTGCAACTGCTGCACGTGCGTTTAAGTCTGTTCTTCAAGGTGTTCTTCTTTCCTCTGAAGGGTAAGTATTTTGGTTTTCTGAACATCTATTTCAATTTTTCTCTTTGGAATAGAATTTACAAGGATAAGAGAAAGTGTGTGATGACAGGGGCGTTCAGTTTTCTCCTCGTATATGTCATTTGCTTGTTTCAGCACTGCCCGTTCTTTTGTGTTTCTGATTGGGGTTGGTTGATAATACTAGAAATATAATCCAACATTTGAACAATTCGATTGGGGTTGATTGCTTCTTCAAGTTTTGACATTTTTTTGTTTCAATTGTGATGGTATTGAAGAGCCTCTAGGGCGTAGGTCTTGTGGTAAGAGTGCAGTGTGTGGTGTGTATATGTTCATTAAGTAAGGCGCACGTCACGGGTTAGAGCCCTGTTGTAGAAATAAGCCTGACATTTAAGTGGAGTAGGATAGAAGAGCGAACCTATTATCCACCAATTTCAAACCATGAACTACTGGCCCTCGGGGATTTCAAAAGTTATATCTCATTCATTTGTTTTACTGATACTTTTTTACAGCTCTTTCTAACCTGCCTTCTCTTATCAGGGAAAAATTGAACTCCATGAATCTGCTGCTTTACATGTCACCAATTGCTGTTCTAGTTTTAATGCCTGCGGCAATCATAATGGAGCCCAATGTGATAGATGTCACCGCGACACTTGCAACGGAACATAGATACCTTGGCCTACTTATTTTGGTCAATTCTGCATTGGCATATGGAGCCAATTTGTTGAACTTTTTGGTGACAAAGCATACCAGTGCTTTGACACTCCAGGTTTTACTCTCTACTTCTTCTCCTCCTCGTTCGTCCCATAGATGATACAATTTATTTTTCGCACTCAAGGGTGTGGCCTAGTGGTCAATGAGATGAATTGAGAATCATGAATTCTCGGTTCAAATCCCAATGGAAACAAAAAAACACTAGGTGATATCTTCCTATATGTCCTAGCCTTGATGGATAGAGTTACCTAGGACCTCCTGCTAATGGAATGTGACATATATCCCGTGGAATTAGTCGAGGTGCACGCAAGTTGGCCAGTATACCACGGTTATGAAAAATAAAATAAAATAAATGATACAACGTTTTTCAATGCTAAACAGACACTGAAGTTTATTTTGTGCTTAAAATTTAAAAGAGAATACATGGTAGCATGATAAATGTATGTTGCTCGGAATCTGCAAAAATATTGTTGCGCCCGTGTCAGATCTTCCAAAAATACACTACTTTTGGAGGATCCGGCACACGCCTGTGCGCAATTTTGAAGAGTCCGAGCCAACATAGATGACAAATGTGTATGACAGACAACAATTATTTGATGAACTTTATTAGCCACATTCATATACAAGGGATGATATTTTTGTATATTGTTACGTATACAATAAAATACGAGTAATATTTTTAATTTACGTCACCCCCAGATTAATTTCTGAAATAGTTCTAACACAAGAAGTTGGTTGTTTCTCAGAAATTACTCATGCAATTTCACATTTTATCGCGGTATCTATTGTTTTCAACTCGTTCTAAGCATCTTCATACTCTGTCTACTTCTGTAGGTCCTAGGAAACGCTAAAGGTGCTGTGGCTGTTGTTATATCTATACTTCTTTTCCGAAACCCTGTAACTTTTACTGGAATCGTGGGCTATACATTGACTGTGATGGGGGTTGTTGCTTACGGAGAAGCCAAAAGAAGACACAAATGAGCTGAGATTCGGCCTTTGTTTCTTCTCCAACGAAGCCCCATACTTTTGTTTTCTTGAAGTTTAGAGACATATTGTAGACTGAAGATAAAATGGATTTCACTGCTACATTGTAGGTTGTAGCACATAGATATACAGAGAGGAAATAGAAAAAGGGGATGCTGATAAAAATCATTGTTTTAGACGATGAATATATAGAAAAACTATTCAGTTCCAGTAGTTCAGCCCGGGAAATGTTCCCGTTCATTAGTTGTATTCTTTACATCGAGACGATAGGATGTATGCATCTGTATCTGACTCTGATGTTGATATATTAAAGTAATTTAATGTCTTATTCACCATCCTTTTGCGTTTGTGCTATGTTATATTTCCATTTTACTCGAAATTTTCTATCGATGATGAGATTGCTAGGCCTGCATTTATGCTTTTGAATGATTGAAGTAAACTTTGATGATGATGTCTTGACTTGCTAACTTAACCTCTTAAGACTAAGTTATTTCGAGAAATTCTCGAAAGCCAGTGGTGAACAGTTTGAAACTCGGTGGAGAATGGGCCCGCATCTCTATCCTTCTCCACTTGAATATCAAGATTTTGCATGGTGGCATAGTTCGAACCTGTGAAGGTATTATCAGAACAATTTTGTATACTACATTTGTAGGTTGTGGTGTAGTGGTGAGACTGTTCCATCCTTAACCAGAGTTATCAGGTTCAACTCCTAGGTATGGAGAAAATCCAATTGGGAGCACCATCCTAGAATGGGCCTTGCAGAGTGCGATCCGAATTTAATCGAGGCTCCAATGCAGGCTACAGACACTGGGTGGGAAACCAGAAAAAAAAACTTTGGGAACATTTTTAATATATGATTTTTGGTGGGAAAACAAATGCGTGGATGTGAAGATAACATGCGAGTTTGAAATATATAAACATGTCTTAAAATCTACAAGGACTTGATGGCAATTGAGATATCTCAATCATCCAGAGATCTCGAATTCGAGTTATGATAATAAATAACATTTCAATAAGGAGTGTTTTACTCCCTTTGTAGAGCCTATTTAGCATGATTCCACATTAATTTTTCCAATAGTACCAAATATCATCTTATGGAACGAAGTTTCATGTAATATGGAGTTCAACCAAAACAAACATCTATAGGTAAACGAAGGATTTGAATCTCAAGTTATTCAAGCCTCAAGAACGGAGAAAATCAGATTGTTGAATCAAAAGAAAAAAAGAAGATTAAGTGGAATAACAAAGTAATGTATTAGAGAAAGCTTGGAGATGAACAATGAACAAGGCAAACAAAAGTTCAAATAGAGTAAAAGTATGTGAAAATATAACAGTAAATCTATGACATATCGAAAGACGATCAACCAACACGAGTCTCTCAGTAAGCCAAAGGGAATTATGAGGTTCGGACATTCCTCAGATATCAGTTGTTCCATCCTGTAAACACTTGCAGAGCATTCAGTAACGAAAGCTAAAGTTTCAAAATCTGGTCTTATCAGGAATAGTCTCTTCACAAACCAAAAAGGAAGAAAAAGAGCTTTTCCATCAAACACCTGTTCAGAAAGAGAGACGAGAATCGACAAAGAAATTTCAAGTGCAACTTGGAGGTTAGATGGTGAAATTAGCTGTTTTTTAGTCTGCATTTTGTATTTTCTCTCCATTTGTTTTGATTTCCTTCTTACCTCAAAAAGGCCTCGTAGTATTTTCTAAAATGAACTTTTTCCAAGCAAGACATTCTCTATTGCATTTGATTACCTCACTCTTAGGCACGTTCTGGACCATCTGGGACCAGATCATAACCATCATGTTGCTTAGGAGCTTCCTTTTCGACTGGGATCAACTTCAAAATAACAGCAACGATCAAGCTTACAGCGCCAATTAGGACACTGAGCAGCCATAGTTGCCAGCTAAGTGGTGTAGTGCTGGCAAAAGTGCCTAAGAACTCGACGATGATAACTTGGAAAACAACTGTAGCAAGCATGACACCTATGAAAATACTGCTGCCAAAAATGCCACGGAAAATGTTTATCTTCTCCATGTCACGGCTGTTTATTTCATTGAAAACCTGTATGGAGCCACCACCCACAAAAGCGCCAACTGGTTAGTGAATAGTACTGAGTACAAAGAATGAACCAAAAAGGACTGTGAGAGTCGATAGGTACATAGTGTGACGCACAAAACAAAAGCTGCCAGGATAATTAACTGAATTTAAAAGGCATACCTGACAAAACACAAAGGTGTTGAAAATGAAAGTATTCAGAACCATTGTAGAATCTGAACCTTCAAGTCCCAAAATCTGCTTCCCCGCGAAGTTGAAGGCTAAGAGTACAGCCAGCTGGTAGATACTGTGCCCTATTATATTTCTCCACATTGTCTTTGTAATGAAACTTACATCCCTTCCAACAGGAGGCCTACTCATTAGTCCGTCATGAGGTGGTTCAGTGGCCAGTGCGAGTGCACCTAAAGTATCCATGATAAGGTTGACCCAAAGAAGCTGAACGGCTGTAAGAGGAGCAGATCCTGAAAGTTGTTGCAGCAGATAAATATCGTCAGAGTCTAATACTCCTATTACTATCACGACTAATGAAGTCTCTATCTCTCTTTCTGTGAGTGTGTGAGTATTGATTCATTAATTAAAGAGATCAGTAGCAGAAAATGAATGAACTCAATCAAAGCAATAAACACCTGAGGCGCATGCAGAAATAAAATTGATCATCAAAGCCACAACATTGACAGTCAACTGGAATTGCACGAATTTTTGAATGTTTATATATACAGAACGGCCCCATTTAGCCACATTCACAATTGTGCTAAAGTTGTCATCAAGCACTATAATATCAGCACTTTCTTTCGCAACCTGCGATGAAAACAATTGAAGATTAGCTCATGCTGGAGCTGAATGGATATTATTGTTACAAACATGTAAAATTTTTTAAAGAGAAACAAAGATGCGAAAATATGTAGGGACACAGTTCCTAGAACTTTTATAGCAAATGTCGATTAAACTCACTAAAACAGGAAAAAATGAGTTTTACTTATATGTTGGAAGTCACTGTCTTCTGAGGTGATATATTAAATGTTTGAGATATTAAAAAGAAGGATGAAAAGGAATGTTCACGCGGGTAACTTCAGGCACTGACGATGTATCACAAATATTTGATATAAACTATAACGAAGACTACAATTAGTAAGAAAATTTTGACCATATATCAGAATTGAAAAGACAACACTACCGATTGGAGCCTACAAGAACAAAATGGTATATATGGCCATATCAACTCAGAGTGGGAGCAAATTTACAAACCTCCGTTCCTGCTATACCCATAGCAAGTCCAATATCTGACTCATGCAAGGCAGGGGCATCATTTGTGCCATCACCAGTAACTGCAACTACTTCTTTAAACATGCCTCTCAAATTCTTTACCAGCACGTGCTTGTCAGTAGGGGATGATCGAGCCATAACCTGCATTCAATATATAAACATTTTTCAGCAAAATGTATTCAAGTCACAAGGATCTACATGGATGATATAAAGCAATCAAATGCATACCTGAATTCTAGGAATTATTTGCCTCATTTCATCAGGACTTTTGTTGCGGAATTCTGAGCCTTCAATGGCCAAACCATCATCAGTTAGTATACCACATTCCTTAGCAATGGCTTTGGCCGTATGAATATTGTCCCCTGTGACCATCCTTACAGTAATTCCCGCAGCTAAACAAGATTTAACTGCCTCTTTAACACCAGGACGAACTGGATCTTTGATTCCAACTACTGCAACCAATGTATAGCCACTATCAGGAATATTATTTTCTTGATAACCATCTCCAACGTCCTTGAAAGCCAAGGAAAGAGTACGCAAGGCTTCATCAGCAAATTCATTAATGACATTTGTGATGTTCGTAGCTTGTTCTTCTGACATATCAACAATTTCACCATTACAATCAATAAACTTGTCACACATTTTTAAGACTATCTCAGATGCACCCTTGCAGAAAGCACGGGTGTTGCTATCAGGAAGACCAACAAGCACTGACATTCTTTTCTTTGCTGAATTGAAAGGTTCAACCTTCAGCAATTTACAATCCTTTTTTTTATCATCAATATCACCAAGAAGTAATCCATAATCTAATATTGCAGATTCTGTGGGTGAACCCAGAACATATTTCTTTCCATCCTTGTCTTTAACCACCTCAGCTGCTGTATTATGAAATATTGCCTGCAATAGTAAGTCCTGAGCACTTTCTGATAAATCTGTTATTGCATCTGCGGATCCGCCATTTTCTACCTTTTTAGCCTTTTCACAAATCCATATTTTATCTACTACCATATGGTTTGTTGTTAGTGTTCCTGTCTTATCAGTACAGATGCAAGTAGCTGAACCCATTGTCTCACAAGCAGAAAGATGCCTCACCAATGCTTTATTGTCCATTAACTTTTTCATCGCAAATGCAAGGCTTAATGTGACAGCCAGAGGTAATCCTTCTGGGACTGCAACAACGATTATAGTTACAGCTGTGGCAAAGTAATTTAGAAGAGTTAATGCATCACTGGAGGACCATTGTGTGATATGATGGTGAGTAGCTTTATTCACCAGAAATCTTACTATTAATACAAGAAATGTCACCACAGCAAATCCGAGTCCTACCTTTCCAATAATAGTGGCAACACCATTCAGTTTAACTTGCAGAGGAGTTTCATCTTCTCCTCCCTCGCTAAGAGTTTCCATCAACTTACCCCATTCAGTTCTCATACCAACAGTGGTCACTAGCATCTTAGCTGAACCGTCTTGTACTTTGGTTCCCGATAGAAGAAAAGGTCTTTTCTCAGATATGCTTACTGGTACACTCTCACCAGACAAGCTCGATTGATCAATTAGCAAGCTATATCCTGCTATGAATATTCCATCAGCTGGAACCAGATCTCCAATAGATAAGTGAACTACATCACCAACCACCAAGTCATAAATGGAAACCTTCTGCCTTGATCCATCTCTCGTGACCTGGATAGATATCTTTTTCTTCTCCTTATCCAAATCTCTGAACTGCAACGACTGCCTATAGTCACTAATTGCAGTAACCATGACTACCAATACTATACTGAGTAGAATTCCTAAACCATCATATGTTCCTTTCGGCCACCCTTCAGTAGCAAGTCCCACACCAATAGAAACAACAGCACAAACTATCAATATGACGAGAGTTAAATCATGCAGAGCCTCCCACACAAATGTCCAAAAACTTCTAAACGGTTTCTCTGTAAATTTGTTCGATCCATATATATTTTGTCTGACAGATACATCACTCGATTTGACTCCTTCATTTGATGAGACTCTCAACTTCCCTGCAAGCCCTTCAACACCTCCAAGTTTCTTTAAAGTTTTTATATCATAGGAACCAACTATAGATGCAAGTTTATCTGGGTTGATTCCAAAACCAGCTTCTCGAGCTTCTTCCGGCAAGTCTTTTGCTAGTTCAGCTCCTATATCATCCCTAATCTGGTCGGATGACCTACCTTGATCACCAGCTGTAAAAAAATATATATATTGAAATGAGAAAAAGCAGAAAGAAGTTGGCAGACCTATATGTTGTAATAAGTTAAACGGAAAACTCAAGGTTTGAGCAAATTATACCATCAATGAACTTGAGTGCTGCCATATAAGCCATGAAACCAACTCGAATTTTTTCCTGGAAATTGCATGTGGTAAAAAGTGTAACTTGACTCAGTATACAAGATTATAGAAGTTATAATACTCAGCAACACAGTCCTCCGTAGTATGGTTAACAAAAACCATAACCAAACCGATGTTTTCTGGTTATATACTAGTTCCATGATGAGACAACATAACTAAAAGCAAATAGAGAAGCAGAAGACTAAAACATATTAATGTCACAGACCACTCTGGTTAGGGGACTCAAATATAGTATTTGAGAAGCAAAATGATTCGGGTTCACTTTCTAGAATTAATCAAATGATCGTTCAACTAACTCCCTTTTTAAATTCAAGATATTTGAGATTGAGCTAAAACACTGCATACAGGTAACAAAAAAAAAACTAAATAATGAATCGGATGGACTGCTTGTGGTGGACTGAGAATAATAAGGGGAAATGTAAAGTGAGTTCAGGCTATAAGATCATGAACATGACTGAGCTACAGACCTCTAACTGGCCTTGGAGACAAATTTGGAAAGATAAGATACCTCAAGGTTTCATGCTTTACGTGACTGCTAAACAAGAAGCCGCTGTTTTTACATATGAAAGCATGAGAAAGAGAAGTTTTATCTTAGTTTCAAATTGCTGCTTATGTTGGGAAGCAGTTGATACAGTAGGACAACGGTTTTTACACTACAAAATTACTGATCATCTATGGAAGCAGTTGAAACAGCAACTTATATGGGAAAAACCCAGAAATATAGGGAAATCACCACCTAGTTTGAATTAATCTTTTTCCTTCTCTCTTTCAATTCTTTCCATTAAAGATATTGTTTTAGCTGTGTGACGTTGATTAAACATTACCGCGAAGAGCAGAATTATTTGATTTCCCTTGTTTGTAAAGATAACATGCCCTGTTTTTATGTTCCATCTCGTTGCGGGATGGTGTAGTAGCTTTGAATGCAAAGATTTTGTATATTCTTACAAAGAAGGCATAAAAGTTTACAGATATAACATGTACTTCATTGAGCATTTTGTTCAAAGCATAAGACACTCACGTGTTAGCTACTGTGTATTTTTAAACATGACTGTCCATGATATCATAACCTACTTCTAGTTTCGACGACTGTAGTCCACACCAGGAGTGTCTGCTTATTATTTTAGACTATACACAAAGACAAAATTTTGTTTTCTTTTAGCATTTTTTAAGGTTTTTCCTATAAGAGGTTTCCACTTTCCTCTTTCTCTACGTTCGGTTTTGATACATTGATCGATTAATGAAGATTAAGACGAAGACTTTTCATGATATCATGTGATTAGATGGTGGAGAAGTAAAATAGTCCAGACAAGGAAATATTGCACACTTCAAAGAGTACAATTTAAAGTCATAGGCAACAAGATTATTTATTTATACAAAAAGATGGAATTCTTATAAGATAAATAAGAGAAGAGGAGTGGGAACTGATGTTTCATGTGGCAACCAAAGATAAGGCAATACAAACAATACACTTCTTGGTGGGGCAAACAAATAACTGCAAATGGGGCCAGGCCAGACTGACTAGTAATTGATGACAAAAACCCAGAGGATATTTATTTGTTGTTATCACCTGTCTCCTTCTGTACTGAAGTACTATCCAAGTAATGTCACAAGGAAGTTTCATGGAAATTTCGCTGCTGACAATGTGTTTATTCTTTCACCCTTATGGACTTTGGAATTACATCAACAACCAGGTACTCCGTACTGTTTTTCGAATTCTTAAATCCCACTATTGATAACCCAACCCTCATTCAAAGATTCTTTAAGTCCTTGAGAAACCTTATTATAATACTCCCTCCGTCCTTATTTAGTTGTCCATATTTCCTCTTTTAGTTGTCCCTATTTAGTTGTCCATTTTGACAAATCAAGAAAAGACAACAATTTTTTTCCTATTATACCCTTATTTAAATAAAGTTGTCATAAATAAAGTAAATAAACTTATGAACTTCCTAGCATTGATTAGTTATCTTGAGTGAATTTATTTTGGAATTGTAAATTGTACTATAAGGGTAAAATTGTAACTTCACTATGCTAATCATTGTTGCCTTAATCTGTGTGTCATTTCTAAAGTGGACAACTAAATAGGGACAGAGGGAGTATAATTTAAGCATGTGCTTATGCACATAAAAACAAAGCTCTACCAGAGACGAGAAATGGACTGTTTTTTTTTTTCTCCATGCAAATTGATGTTTGGTAATATGGAAAGGGCGTTTTGCATTGCCACACACTGCTTCCTATGATCTTAGAAGATATGTCAATGTCAATGTCAGATGGAAGCTTCAAGGAAATTTCCCTGATGAGTGTTCAGTAGCTAGACTTTTGCCTCTTTTGGCATTACATAAAATACATTATACTGACCCATCCCTCACCCAAAGGCTCTTTAAATCCTATAGAATATAGTTGTAGTACTGTAATTAGCTTAGTTGCGCGGACTCTTCACTTTTGATGCTGCACTAGTCTCGGATTCTCCAAAAATACACTACTTCTGGTGAATCCGACATGCACCTGTTGACATTTTTGAAGAGTCTGACCAACAAAGGTAATTAGTAAGCATGTGCTTGTACACATAAAAACAGATTTCTTTTGTACTCATTTGCTGAGCACTTTGTACTGGTGCTATGATCATGAAGGCACCTAAAAGATCTCAACTTTTGTAATGTATTAGGAACACAAATTATCATTAGCCTAGGACCATTTCTACATGCAGAATGGAGATTTAAATGCTGACCACTTTGGATGCTTGCTAAATTCTTTTTTTTTTTGGTTTCTCATCCGGTGTCTAGAGTGTGTATTTCAGATCATGCGCTACAGAACTCATTCGGAGGTGGTGCTCCCTAAATTCTGACCACTTTGGATGCTTGCTAAAAAAAAATTTTGGTTTCCCACCCGGTGTCAGCATGCATTAGAGCTCCAACTAAATTCAGGTCGCGCACTACAAAACTCATTCAGAGGTGGCGCTCCCAACAAGATTTGCTCAAACCCGACGCCTCTGGTTGCTAAATTCTGTTCTAACTTAAATGAGCATTTGTCAAGCTAATTTAATAACTTTAAAGGAATACCAAAGCACAAACTTTAATGGAAAAAGAAAACATGAACCCCTGAAGGCAAACAGTCAAGGTAAATATGAAACAAAGTCTTCTCCACAAAAACATATTCTTTTTTTTTGAGATAAAAGTCTTCTCCACAAAAACATATTCTACCGGCAAGTGGCAACTGACATATACTTGAAACAAAAAGGGGCCAGCAAAGAAACTATTAAAAAAAGAAAGAAATAACTTTACTTATCTTTTCACTGAACTAATGTGATTCTGTAGATTTTCTAAATGGTCCCCATAAACTGCCAATAAGTTATCCTAAACAGTAGCCAACACAAATAGGCATAAATATTAAAATATCATAGACTTTGTATCACATATTTTGGCTCTAGTCTACTAGATAGGGCCTCAGTCTCCTCTAAATATTCAATGCAAAAAGATGTTAAACAGGGAAATGTTTATAACGTCCCTATTAATAAATTAAAGCAGTTAATAGTTTGTGAATAGAAAATTAATACTGTGTTTGACTTGCCGACCTAGTGTGTTTTAATGGCTGTATCATCAATTATAAAGCTACAAAAAGCTCGATCGATTCAAAAATGTCATCGAATGCATGTCGAATTCTTTAAAAATAATATATTTTTGGAGAATTCAACATAAATACAATAACATTTTTGAAGAGTTAGAGTAACTTAGAAAATAACTACAATAAACTAGTGCATTATCTAACCGGATCTGGTTTCTAATGTTCTATAGTAACTGTTTGTAACTTCCTAATAAATGTAATTTTTAGGAAGTCATAAATAATACTCCTTCCATCATAATTTATGTGACACTGTTCAGATTTTGAGATTTAAACAAATTTATCTTTGACCATAAATTTTGTCATATATCTTTTAAATATTTTTTAATTGTCGATTATTGTAGGTTATAGTACTTTCTACGTAACTTACAAATATATAAATTTCATTTTAAAAAAATTGAAAATTCCATATGTAAATTTTCAATCAAGCTTAAACTGTTTAACTCTCGAAAAACAAAGACAAAGAGAGTAATATTGTCTGATTTTAATAGGACACGTAATTTAAAAAGTAAATAAAATAAATTTTATAGTCTTATATACGTCATCCAAAAAGTTAAAAATAATACATTTTTTTAAACGAACTAAAAAAAATAAAAGACACCATGTGGACTGTGGAGATCTGGTAAAAGACAGATAAGAAATTAAATAATTGTTTCCATAAATTTATATCCATATGCTAAGCATAAATTTCACCACATGAAAGATCTAATTTTTGTCTATATTTATTGAACAAAAAACATGGTCCTCCATATTAACAGCAAATGTGCAAGTGGAAAATGGTGGCAAAGAATCAACAAAGAAAGAGGGCCAAGAATTTTATTTTATATCTTATCACATCCTAAAAGTCAAACAAGAAAATGTCATTGGAGGAAAAAGAAATAGGTATATAATAAGAATATCAAATAGGAAAGTGGTAAAGCACAACTAACGGTGGATATCATATGATCTTTAGTTCTTTACCATATATATTCCCACTCAAACTTATTTTTATTTATTGTTTGGCAATAAAAAGTTACTTTGTCTAATAATAATTATTCATTATTGACTTTGCACACTTTTTAAAAAATTATATTTAGAAAAGTAATTTTATTATATCACCATTTGAATATAATAAATATGATGTCGTCAAAAATGTAATAGGGAAATGACTATAATTGATAAGAGGCTAAATTAGGAACAAAGGGTAAAATTATTTATTGATTTCATAAAGTTGACAAGTATTGTTGGACATCCCAAAATAATATAGTGCACAACTATTATTGAACGGAGGAAATAGTTTTTTTTTCTTGCTAAAATATTCACTTTTACTTGCCACGTTTTACTTTACGAGAGTCCATAAGATTAACTTTCGAAGCTATTAATTTGTTGAAAAGCAGAAAGTTTCAAACACAGAAAATGAAATTGAACTCATTTTCGGCTAATTTCTCGGAAAATAAAAACAAAAAAAAAATATATTTCCATATTCTTCGATGAAATGTACAAGTATTGTAGCATATTGTACCAAACTGATAAAGCATGACCTAATATTATTTCCATTAATGTACAACTGTATCAACATAATGTACCAGATGTTAAAACATGAATAGAAATTGATTTCTCCGGTTATCGATGATCGGAACTCATTTTCCGGCTTAGTTTTTTTTTTCTGATAAAAAAAATATCAGAGGTTTTAACATTGTTATCACAGATTTCAAAATCGAAAAAAAAAAGTAATAATTTTTTTCACTTTTCTAGCAATTTTCCTTTTCCAGCATAATTTCTCGGAAAATAAAAGGAGATTTTCCGATTCATTTTAATTTTCCAGCTCATTTTCCGGCGTATTTTCATGGAAACAAAAACAACGAACAAGAAGAAAGAAAAGTAATATAATATAAAAGCAATAACATACTCTAGTTTTTTCCATTTGCTCTTTTGCCTCTTTTCGTTTCTCCAGATTCGAACCATACCGGAACCGTCGCCGGCGATTTCTAACGAACGAAACCGCATCTCTCCACCTCCTCTGAGCTTCTACAGACGGATTTTTACCTGGCAAATCGAATTCCTCTGGCTCCAATAACTTCGCCATTAAACTAACCTTTACGACTGCAGATTTGTAGATCAATGGATATATAAATATATACACATACAGTAAACAGAGAGAGAAATTATGAAAAAAGGAAAATATTTTTTTGGGGTTTTATTATTGGATTAATTTTATTTTTTTTGTTATATATATATATATATATACCAAAGATTTGTGGCGGAGTGATAAGTGATCTGGTTGACCAAAGAAATCGGGTTTGGGTACTTGATACAGTCTTCTAATTTCTAAAATCAAATTTTTCAACATAAATTGAATTAGTGAAACTCCAAAATAAATAATAATCTACTTGATCAAATATCTCGATTTTGAATCTCAAATGGTGACCTACCAATTGTAGAAATAGGATTTTTGACAAGCAATAAGCATTTTTCAATAATACAATTCAAGTGTACCATCTCTTCTTTCTTATTTCGAGGAAAATGTGCGGAAGGAAAAGAAAACAACATCTGATACTATTTCATGATAAAATATGGGAAAACTGATCAATATATACGCAACCTTAACCAAATCACTATATTTTGAGGAAGGACAAAGTTTATGGCATCAAAAACCTTTTTTTTGTTCTGAATTGTATTTCAGTAGTTTGAATGAAAATTTTTCCAACAAATCGCTAAATTTATATTTTGCCTTGATTGTACCATCCACTTTTTGTTATTTCGGACCTAAATGGGAATGACATAAAAAGTCTTTTTCAAAACCTAGCATTAAGGACGTTACAACGATATACGCAAGGAATAGAAAAAAAATCCTAAAATATGAATTCATATTAATCGAACTTTAAAATATAACCGTATTTAGTTTATTCTGTTTACTAAAAATACTTTTAGAAGACGCGTTAATTTAGTACTTGTGCTATTGGTCCTTGAGTGCGTTGAAATTGTTGGTTTGACCTCTCTACTTTTAACTTTTTCTATAGAAGGGGGGGGAAAGTTAGGACTATGCTCAAAAATGGCGCCTTTATTATATAATAATAATAAAAAAAAAACTAAAATAATAATAATCATATATTAGGAGTGTATATATTGAATGTAACATATTTTAATATTATCATTTTATATTTTTAACATGTGATTGTGGTTAGTTACAATTTTATAAGAGGTAAAATTTAGGATAGTCGTTTTGTTTTATAATTGAGGAAATATTTATTACGGATAGTTTAGGAATTAAAGGGTGAAACTCTATGATACTAATGTGTAGTTTAACTTGTTAAAGTAAAAAATTAATAGTAATGACTCCTTTTAATTACAGATATGATTGAAAAAAGTAATTAATGAGCATTCACTTCTGAAGTAATATCGAAGTAGATAGACTTGTAAGGTTTTTACTTAATCTCAAAATCGAGTATTTATACACTTTGGATGGCATAAAGATTTTATTTTTTTTAAATCTATCAACGCAAGTAAACTTATTTTTACTCTTTTTTTATTTTCATTAATTATTTTTTTACATTATTATATCACCCAAAAAATATTTCAAGTATTTTTTATTTATAAAATATAACAAATTATCTACTATAAATCTATAACAAGTAAAAAATAATTTATTAATATAAAAATAAATATTAATACTGACCATGTATATATACCTTAAACTGTTTTCCTTTATTGAAAAAGTAGGAGTAAGAAGGAGCATGAAGAATATTATATTATGTCTAATTTATTTATATTTACATTAAAATTAAAATAGAAAAGTGTAAAATAAATAAATTGAGATTAAGGATCTGATACTTTTGGAATTGTATTAAAAGGTAAGAGATCTTATGATACTTTTTTGAAAAGTTCTCATAATATCTTTCTTCCTTTGTTTGGAGAATATTTAATTGGTTAATGCGCATTACTTTAAAGTGTTTATTTACTTTATAAGATGGAAAATAAATAGATAATGTAGATCTTTTTATTTTTAATTAAAGGTCTAAAAATTAAATTTGTGGGATTGAAAAACAATTTTATTTGGAGTGTCATTTTTAGAAATGAATCATGCAATGCGTAAATTCAAATTTAGAAGTTAACTATGCGAACGATCCCAATAATTTTTATTTAAATAGTGTGTGAGTATTAAATATTTTTTCTAAATACAAACAAAGATTAAATTCAAAACTCAATTGTTAACCTCTTATGACGAATCCTATAATTTATAAAGGTTAAATTTTGGCTCCCCTAGATTCGAGGGTGCATGGATAGGGATTGCGATAGGTGAATTGTTTAGAAATAGAGAAAGTAATCTAAGTAAAACACCACATAAATTTATTATCTTTCCATTATTAAAGTCATTTTTTTTATTATCTTTTTTTTTTTTTTTGGGTTCGTACCCCGGCAGTGGAACAAAAAAAAAGTCATTTTTTTCTTTTTATGAAACTTTTTTTTTTAAAAAAGAAAATATTTCTCAAAACCTATCGACCAATCAAAGAAATCAAAAAGACCTTTTAAAAAAAAAGTTATCCTTTCGTACTAAACACGTCCTTTATTTTTATCTTACCCCAAAAAAGATTCAACATGATGGCCAAATACAACCTAATAGTCAACTTCAATGTTGGGAGGTACATATAACAAACAATTTGATGGCCCAACATGGGTCAATTGATTGATAAATTACTTGTTTTTCACTATATTTAATTTTAGAACAACCACAATAACAACTCGCAAAGTACAGTCTCATAAATAGGATTTCGAGGTAGATGAGATATATGCAAGGGTGTAATTAGGGTATCAAATCTTTTGTTATAAAATTACACTATATATCTAAAAGTTAAAAATATGTTTCTTTGTATATATAGTAGATGTAAATAACTTTAATTTTTTTGTGTGTTTTAACTTTTTATAATTTGAACCCCTTTCAATTATTTAAGTATTGAATATACGTAGACCTTATCCTATCATTGTGGAATAGAGAAGGATGTTTTCAATAGACACTCGACTCAAAGAAATCATTTTTTTTAGAATAAGTTTGAAGGAAATGCAAGAGCAAAAAAGCTATTATGAATATATTAAACAAAAAATGCAATTAAATATAAAATTATGACGAATATTAATATTTGTTTATTCTCTATTTGTTATTCCTATTATGTATAAGAAGAAGAAAGAAAAAACTCAATATATTTAAATGGTGGTTTGGCAAACCTTTCGTTCTACCAAAAAAATTTGGACACATTTGGTAAAACAGACTTAAATATTAGTATATGAAGCTTATGTCATGTTTGTTAATTTAGGTAAACGAGTAATAAGGGGAATATTTAGAATGTTTAGTCGCTATCATCGAGGATTATATTGAGATGATCGAGTTTGAATAATTCTGAAAATTAAAAAAGAAATTGGTGATGGGCGTTTTTTTTCCTTTTAGTGGACCTATTCGGTGAAAAAATAAATTTATCAGACCAATAACATACATTCAACTTTGGGAATGAGAAACTTCTTGACAACGAGAGTTATACCCTCTTAACAACATATGACATGAATTTGAACTAATCGGATCATTGGGCATAGCTGTCTTGACCATAAGATTACTAAAACAATTACTTGTGGCCCTAATTTTGTTGGGCCCCCATTATCTCACAAGATGTATATATATTATTAAAGAAATTTCATGTATTAATAAATTTGAAAATATTTTTTTGGGTAGAAGATATAATAGTTTTTTAATCTCATTCAATATAGAGACCATTGTATATGTCATGACCCAGACCGTCGTGATTGGCACCCACACTAACCCTCCGGTGGGAGAACCACTACTACAACCCAAACCAAGCAACTAAACCAAAAACTAAAACATTTAAGTTATGGAAGCAAGTTAAATAGCTAAAGACTGAAGTTCCCATAAACTTCCAAAAGATCTAACAACTAAACAATGCGGAAAATACACCTAGAACCTGAAAGTCAATGTACCAAA